GAAAGGGAACAGTAGAATGTTGCAAAGATGTAAAAGAGGCAGACACAAAGGTCGTGAGTAGGGGAAGGCGAGTACTGTAGAATTGATGGAATATGACATGCAGTGAGGTGATGGTAGTTTGGAATCAGAAGTCAACTGCCAGTTAATAGACTTTTTTGCCGTATGAGTATACGTTGCCCAGGGTGCACCACGTGGAGAGGTAAGTCTATCGCACGCCCCATCTACACAATTATAAACCATACTAAATAGACCATTCGTAATCTCTCTGGTGGCTTTCTGTAATAGTCGGTAATATGAAACAATGACGATATTGGACAGTCAAGAACACGTATCTCATCGTCCAAGCATAAACTAAACGTGGGTAAACAAACAACTAGTGCAGCCCATTGCTTTTAAAACGGAAATTTTTAGTTAAGTGACAGATTAAGAAGGCAATGCCAGAAAAATCAATGAGGAAACGAAATCTGGGATCACAGCAACGATAACGCATTATTGCGATAAGGATGTGATTACACCATAACATGAAGATAATTGGTTAGTCTCCTCAATTTCTCACGAATTTAAACCAGAATAATACTCCCATAATTATGAAGGGCACTATGCACCCCATAATGCTCTTCTCCACTACTATTAGTATTCCAACAATTTTTATACCATATCTAACTCGCGTGGCCTAACCTTCATTCCATGTCCTAGGTGCTAATTCAGTTCTCTTCACAACGTGCACTTAATTGAAATCCCCTCTCCCTACGCCCATGATGAAGGTCATGAAAGTGGTGTGTATCAATAGGGGCCTAGCTACAAGTTCTCCAGTTCATATCTCACTCCCTTGACAGTTATCACGGACTGGATGAACCAATTGTCAAATGAAGCCGAAATGCAAGTTTCTCAACATGAAGTCTCCTTGACACAGGAAGGGAGCATTGGAAACTCTTTCCTCAAGAATCCAAGAAGTACGCTTCCTCCAAGAAATAAGCCCTTTGGTGCTTCCTTCTGCTTAAACGGAATATCTGCTACCCATAAAAACTATGAAGATTGCACTCACTTCCTGGGAGGCGCATGAATAACAGTCGTAGTGTATCGAATGTTAGCAATTAGAAAAGTGATTGCGTATGTCTGATAAATTGATACAATATTGAAATTAGGCCAAAATGGACACAGTTGCCAAAGTTATCACAAACAGAACACACTCCGAGTTCAATAGACTGGATGCAAAAGATTAAAAGGGGAAAAGTTTGTCAAGTAGAAAATAGACATTAGGGGAGAGAGGTGGAGAGAGAGTCTAAAAGAAGTTGGAGATAAACCATTTCGTATTTTTGGACTTTAAGTAGTAGAATAGCTAATCCAAATTTCCAACAAAGCCAAATCATTCAGGCCTGATCCAATGTTTATTAGCCAATCGACCAATTATGGTCGTCAATTCAGAGAGTAATGTTCCCACAACGTGAATGATAATAAGTCACTCAGATATATTGTGGGGCATTGACGAATAATAATGAAACATTATATCAAGTGAATGCTTTCTTCTCTACCAATGCAAAACAACATTTTGATCTGAACCTCAAAATCCCAACAAAAATACTGAAAACGAAGAAGAATTGAAGTCGATTTAATTCAGTAAACCAAACAGTAAATGTGCATTTACCAATTCCCCTTTAGTAATTAAAAGAGAATTTTATCCCTTTAATGTTGGTAGCGATACCTAAGTCAAGATTACTACTAATTTCATAAAAGTAGAAAATTCGAGATATATCATTTCAATTTACACAATTATTATGCATATTTTGTTATTGAATTTACCGAACTTGATTTCCATTCCTCTCACCCTAGTAGAAATTCACAACCGGGTGATTACGCAAACATTGATTAATTAAGCACAATCCACGAGTCAACCGTAAATCTCTGGAGTAATATTCTTTCTAGTTCACAGGTTTCTGATTGGACGAAATAAGTCTACATTTGCGAATCCGAGAACTGCGATGCCTCCTAATTTGTAGCTAACTCGTTGAAGAAGATTACGGAAATGAAACCTCCAAAGTAAACGAGCTTATCATCATGGTGATTGGTTATGTCCAGATCCCTTCTATTTAATCCCGATCATCAAATCCACAAATCATCTCCAAATCTCAGGACGAAATAACCCTAAC